GTACACAATCACAAATATTTTGAATGGCTCTTTATTCACCTTAGGGCAGGTGACCCCATTGCCCTCCCCAGTTATATTTCAAAAAAGTTGACGCTTTGCCTTTGCTGAGCAGTGAACAGCTAGAACACGATTGGCTTCTACCCAGATAGCAAGGGTAACTTGCCACAAACTTGTGGCCGGGTTAAATTGTAATTCTTGTTAACTTGCTGCACACATTACCTGGAAAGTTGTAGACTTGCAGAACACTTGCCGCACAAGTTCTAGTTGACACTTTTTGAATTTGTAGCAAATTTGCTTGGCAAGTCTACAGCAAGAGTCCTGGCAAGAGCTCTGCAAGTGTACAGCACGTTTGCAAAGCACGTTGATCTGGAGACTTGCAATGCAGACTTGCTGTAATTGTGCAACAAAATTGTGAAGCTCGGCAAGTCTGCAATAGTTTAGCAAGTCATTTTCAAATTTGCAGCTCAATTGCTTGCTATCTGGGTATGAGTTACAGTTTATGGTAAAAGCTGCATCAGTGTAAATGTATCATGCATAAGCATTTTTTTATTTTTTTTAGTATGTTACAGAAGTGAGACCAGCCCATGTCATTACAAGCAGTGCTAATCGGTGCTAACAAAGGACGCTCGCTGTATAGGTTTATGTACCTGGCTGCCGTTCCTTATTTGTTGTTAAACGCGTCGCTGCGCTCGCTGTTCCGTGAATTTTTCCAGATGATTCTGCACAATAGCATTATCTGGAGTTAGTGGCCGGGACTTGGCACGCCTTGGCCGCCTCCCGTACAAGCCAATCTCGATGACCTGTTAACTCATGTAATGTGCTAAAAGCAGAGCAAACAATAATAAAGAAAGTGGGAGGCGGTTTTGGCTCTGGGATTTAAATGCATAAAAAATATGTTTTAGTGACTATTAAAAATGTATAATCTTTCTTTTTTTTTCCCCAGACACGGAAGGAGTGAAAATGTCATTTAATAGCTGAACAAATCTTCTATTACTGAGTTACAGACAAAAATCAAAGTCCATTTTTTTTTTCTCCGAGTGGCAATCCGGAGAGCACGGTATTAAAGACATTTGATATTTTAAATGAAAAGGTCAAACCAGCAGGGACTCTGGATGGAAGATCTGTGTGAGTTCAGATTTATATTATTACTCTGTTTCAGCAACAGGGTGACAACACAGGTGCAAAATTGGGGGACAGGGATAGAGAGTTATCACCCTATATCAGAAATTGTCTGGAGGAGGACACACAGCAGCACTTCTTCCCCACTCTATTCAAAACTAAGGGGAAAAGTTATGGCTAGACATACACATGAATTTAATCTGTATCTTGTGCAGTGATATTAGTATTAAGCCAATATTATATAATAATTACTATATTACATATCCACTGATTAGCCATACCATTGTGACAAACCGCCTAATATTGAGTAGGTCCCCCTTTTTACCACCAAAACAGCTCTGACCCATTGAGGAGTGGACTCCATTAGACCTCTGAAGGTATGCTGTGGTATGTGGCCCGTCCAGACATGCACTTCACTAGACCACTGAAGGTATGCTGTTGTATATGACCCGTCCAGGCAAGGACTTCACTAGACCTCTGACGGTATGCTGTGGTATCTGGCACCAAGACATCAGTGGCAGAACCTTTAAGTTGTGAGGTGAGGCCTCCATAGCCTGGACTTGTTTTTCCAGCACATCCCACAGATCGATTGGATTGAGATCTGGAGAATTTGGAGGCCAAGTCAACACCTCAAATTCGTTGTGTTCCTCAAACCATTCTTCAACCATTTTGCAGTGTGGCAGAGCACATTATCTTCCTGAAAGAGGCCACTGCCATCAGGGAATACCGTTTCCATGAAAGGGAGAATTTGGTCAGGAACAATGTTTAGGTCGGTGGTACGTGTCAAAGTAACATCCTCATGAATGGCAGGACCCAAAGTTTCCCAGCAGAACATTGCCCAAAGCATCACACTTCCTCGACCAGCTTGTCTTCTTCCCATAGTGCATCCTGGTGCCATCGCTTCCCCAGGTAAGTGACACACACCCACCCGGCCATCCACATGATGTAAAAGAAAATGTAATCCATCAGACCAGGCCACCTTCTTCCATTGCTCCGTGGTCCAGTTCTGATGCTCATGTGTATATTGTAGGTGCTATTGGTGGTGGACATGGGTCAGCATGGGCACCCTGACCAGTGTGTGGCTGCACGGCCCCATACACAACAAACTGCAATGCTCTGTGTGTTCAGACACCTTTCTATCAGAACCAGCATTAACTTTTTTAGCAATTTTGGCTACAGTAGCTCTCCTATTGGATCGGAATACACGGGCCAACCTTCGCTCCCCATGTGCATCAGTGAGCCTTGGCCGCCCATGACCCTGTCGCCAGTTCACCGGTATTCCTTCCTTGGAGTACTTTTGGAAGTCCTGACCACTGCCGTCTGGGAACATCCCACAAGAGTGGCAGTTTTGGAGTTGCTCTGACCCAGTCGTCCAGCCATCACAATTTAGCCCTTGTCAGAGTCGCCCAAATCCTCACACTTGCCCATTTTTTTCTGCTTCCAACACATCAACTTCATTGTCATATAAATATATTCCCTCTAAATTTGCACCCCTTTAAATTATATCAGCGATGCTATTTGCTCATAAAAATAGCAGGCCGTTAATGAACATTGATTGCAGCGGGATGATAAAATAACTCTGGAATGGGGAATCAGAACTGTAAAGTAGCATTGTCTTTATTGAAGGTAGCTGCCATGATAATAGAACAAAGTCTAATTACAGGCTGGCAATCATTTGCATTCAGTTTTGTGTCTGTCATATCCACAAGCTCTATACCCTTGAATCCATGTCAGAGCTGTAACTCAAACTGACACATAGCTGTATGTTACATAGACAATAGCACACACACAGCAAAAAAAAAAAATATCCTAATGCATCTATTTAACCCCTTCATCACCAGAGCCGCCGAAGCCCACTTTCAATGTCCGTTTAAATTGCCAAAATGTATTGCAGGTGAATTAAAGCAAAAAAGATGTGCAAAGTCTTACACTTCTTTAGAAAGCAGTCACATCATGAGTAGAAAAGAATGTCCCCTGCCAGCATGCTGTAGAAGGACCCTTGTTCCTTGTGTGGAAGCAGTGGTCTCTCTGCAGAGGTCAAAGCTAGAGCTGTCCAATCGGCAAAGCATAAGCTCCCTGCTCTGTACTGTCACTTTAAATTTTTTTCCCACTGACTACATTAAATAACGAGGGGCCTTTTTTGGCACAAAAACAGGCCCAAGGGGTTGAAATGAGCTTTCATAATCCCCAGGAGCCGTTTTAAATGGCACAACCACCTAGCTGGTTTAGGTCAAAAAGATAGTGTCTGTGCAAAGGTCTCCCCTCTCCTCTCCCCCTGAACCCACTGCCGGTGCTTGTCACTGCCAGCGTTCTCCCACCACTTCTTCCTCTGTCACTGCAAGTACTAAAGTCCCCAGCTATGTTGGACACTACTAGGGGGAGCAGTGTTGTCACTTCCTTGGTCATGTGACAGGACGTGGCCCTTGCAATTGGCTGCTAGACCCACGCACTGTTTAATGGTAGGAAGTCACATGTGTCCCATACAGGGGAGTCCCTAGCCTATTTGCAACCTAAGGGCGTGGGAGGGGTGAGTATGTAGCTGGATGGTGCACAATCTATGAGTAGTGGGGAGATGTGTAAAGATCTGCTTCTCCTCACCCAACTCTTAGCAACCTGGCACGCCCTGGCTGGTGTGGGCAAGAGTGTCCCAGCTTGCTAAGAGTTGAGCCAGGAGATGTGTATGGCCCCTACACATTTCCACGCTCTTAGCAACCTGTGGATGCTCTGGCTAGAAAGAGGGTGGCAGTGATACTACAGACATTGTCCCCCCACATGACTCGCATTATAGGGATGGCCCATCTCCCATACACACAACCGCAGACGTGCATTTGCATTGAGAATGGTGGGGAAACACTGGTGCCATTAATGGTCAAAGTGATAGTCTCTTTAAAGCCCATTGTATTCTTACAAAAATGGCTCAATGTTGCCTTCTCCATTGGACGCCAATGTATTTCACCACAATGCCAAACTATAGCCAAAATCCCGTATTTTTGGTTGAAATCCCAAGCAAATTTTGCTCAGCTCTACTGGCTATATGGGAGCTGCGATACTCAAAGTGGGGACTTCAGAACTAGATACCTGAGCTCCAGGATCCTCCCCACCAAAGCCACCATGAGACCTAAGAAACCCTCTACTGCAAACTTACGGCATTGACCCAAAACCAAAACACTGGCTTCGGGTTGCCCGAACCTTCAGCACACCCTGGCACGTCTCCCTCCCAGCGCCTAATCCCGGCTTCTTTTTGTGCCAGGAACGGAACATGACTAGCTTTGACTTGAACGGCAAATGACTATTTCTCTATTTGTTAAATTTATTTCCCGTTTTATAGTCGGGCGGCTGTAAAGCTCTAATTTGCAATGCGCTTTGTTATGAGATCTTGTTCACATTCCGCGTCCGCGGGAGAATAAAATTATTGTACAATTAATTTTGCAGAGAGCAAATGTTTGGTTCGTGTTCCTAAATTTTTGAAGAGCGGCATCACGGTTGCTCAATTGATGCGCCCGGCTCATTCAAGGTTATCTCTTTTCAGTTGCTCCATAAAGGGTATTAGATTTTATTCACTTGTATTGCTCAGTCATTCAGTGGTGGGAATTTGCTATTTTTTATGACTTAGATTAAATCGCCGATGTTGCATTGGAACTTTGGAAATAATAAAAGTTAAAAAAAAAAAGAAAAACTTTAAAAAGGAAAGAAATGAGTAAAGTGAACCCAGACTCTGCGTTTTAAATATAAAAGTAAAAGCCCTGCGTAGAAGATGATGTCACACGATGCCTGCTATTACCTTAAATAGCACCAAAATGCCCTTCTGGGCTCCTCTGAGATTTAGGGGGGCCTGAGATTCCCTAACCTCTTGGCTATGCTTCATCAACTATCATCACCCTGTCCGATGGGATGGCCCATTCTGGCCACTGAGGCAGTCATATAGGACAATAGAATCTTTGAGGCGGTCTCATAGCACAATGGAATCATTGAGGCGGTCTTATAGCACAATGGAATCATTGAGGAGGTCTCATAGGACAATGGAATCATTGAGGCGGTCTTATAGGACAATGGAATCATTGAGGCGGTCTTATAGGACAATGGAATCATTGAGGCGGTCTTATAGGACAATGGAATCATTGAGGCGGTTTTATAGGACAATGGAATCCATTGAGGCGGTCTTATAGGACAATGGAATCATTGAGGCGGTCTCGTAGGACAATGGAAATTAAGTATAATGGGGGGGGGGGGGGGTTTTGGG